CCCGTTTTCTGTCCCTGAAGGCTCTGAATACGTGTATTTATTTACAAATTACTGTAAGTCATGCTTATACCTTACTAATTTACGTTAAATTGCATATAATTAAGTAATTGCTGTTGAAATCATTCAATTCTTTATTTTTTATATATATTTAGTCACGTTGTCTCATATTTCAAATAAATATGTTTGAATAAAATTTTGTTTTGTTTTATTTATGATAAGAAAGAGTACAAAATACATTTAAACTGAAAGAGGGCCCGCCATTGAATAACCGGAAACGGAAATAAATACGAAGCCATCATGTCAACCTGTCAATTGGAAAATTAGTTCTCCAGACGACAACGAAGGCTTTCGGTGGCGTATCGTGTTTCCACGATTTAACACAGAGTTGACACTTCTTTCTAGTTAATTATTTTATGGCGCAAAATATTAAAACTGTCAATATTAACAATGCAAATGTCAATATCTGGCAATAATAAAATTTGATTTTTAACTGTCACTCAGAGACGCTTTTGTTGTGATTTTACGGTTTGATTTCGTTTTGATTTGTCGAATTATTGTAAAATTAAATTCCTTTAGATTTTTTGCCAGTATTCTGTTTTAGACAATGTTTTTTAAAAATGGTGGGACAATTTGTGTTTTGTAATAACTCTTAATTATTTTTTCATGGAGTTTAATTGTTGTACACCTGGTTTCCGAAGGATACAATGGTAAGTAAATTAAACATATCTACTTAACAGTTATAGATTTTTTAAATTAGTACTGCTAATAAATGCTACTTGCAGAGCAGTTATTTAATTTTTTTACGGTGCATGTAAGGAATTAAAGACGCGCGTTTTATATTAGCATGATCAGCAGATGATTACATCTAATTTAATTTGTTTTTATTATTTCAGGTCCCTAACGGAAACAAACTGGGAATCTTGCCTACACCAAAATTATATAGCCGTTTCCAATACACTTCAAAGGGAGGAAAATTATGTAAAACTGCCTGCTATTTGCTGAAAACCGCCAAAGATTAAATTATAACTGTAACAACTTAATATATACTATTTCTAGTCTTTTTAATATATTTTTTAATTAATATCCGACATATAAGAACACTTCGTATGCTTTTAATTCAGTTGATTTATCGTTTATAATATGTTCGACCTAATTAAATGCACACAAAGTGTTCTTACATGTATGTCTAAATTTATTTTAAATTAACTAAAACAACCCCCCTTCCCCGCACCCCTCTCTTCCATTAGTATTTCTTCCTCCGTCTACCAGAGGCGCCCTTGTATAATAAAATTGAAATGTATTATAAGTTGCCTATCTATTTAATAGTTAAGTCTTTTATCTATGATTCTGACTTTGACAAGAAAAAATTATTTCTGTTTTTATTTGCCGTTGTCCTTAGCGACCGCTATAGCAGCGCCAGATCGCGTATAACGGTCGCGACCCAAAATTTTTACGGACTTTCCAATTTAAACTTGTTGCATTTATCTATGGTTCCAACCCCAAGTATTAGAACGGTTAGGAGATTTGGAAAAGTATAAACGGGATTAACCATTTTAGAACAAGCAAAAATATTTATCATTTAAAGTATCACATTTTTCGATAACTTATCGCCCTTTCCGTTGTATTGAACTAAATACATTTTGTGCTTCTTTGACATTTTAAAACAGCAAAAAAATATGTCTTTAATGAAAATTCTATCAATAACAATCTATCAAAGGATGAAAACGAAGTATATTATCATAGAAACGCGTTTTGATTCTTAGGGCTTCAATAGAATATAAAATTCAATAATATTTTCATGTTTGTCCAAATTTCCATAGCACCGTTTTTCTCTAAAACGGTATGGAAATTTGAAAAAGTATAAACGGGATTAACCATTTTAGAACAAGCAAAATTTTTTGCAAAGAATGCATTTTTCTCGAAATATTAAAAATAAAAAGTGTTTCCTCTTGTATAGGCAATCCGGGGACATACTGTAAATGCTAGCTCGATGAGAGGACCTAGGTAGGTAGGAATATTGCTACCCTTAAAAATAAAAATGGTTATAAGCCCTTAGGTTGCGCCCTAAACTATTATTTATAAGATAGTTGAACCCTATGGTAAGAAATATAAAAACTATACAGTCTATTGAGCCTATACCTGTAAGGGAGCGAAAGGGCCAAAGTCATAAAACAGCCGAAGAATAAATGTTGTCCTCTTTGCCTTGGATTCGTACTTTCTACATTGGTAGATATTCATAATTAAAATAGTCCCATAATATACCCACATAAATAAAAACTACGTTGCCAAGAGCTGAGGTATATTTTCTATTTAGACTATTAACATGATATATTTTAGGTATTCTTTCTTTACGAAATAATATGAACACTTACCCTATATATAATTTTGTTTTATTCAGCCAATTTAGGTAGTTCTACAGTATGTCTCCGGATTGTCTTTACAAGAGGAAAAACTTTTTGTGTGTTCTAAAATGGTTAATCCCGTTTATATTTTTCCAAATTTCCATACCGTTTTAGAGAAAATTAAAAAAACGTGAAAATATTATTGAATTTCCTAAAAATCAAAAGGCGTTTCTGTGGTAATATAATTTCGGTTTCATTCTTTGATAGATGGTGATTATTAATTTTGATTAATGTCATATTTTTTGCTGTTGTTAAAGTATCACATATTCCGATAACTATTATCTCTGCGCTATTATCATAAGGCTATTATCACCCTTTTCGTAGCATTGGACTAAATAAATTTTGTGCTTCATTAACATTTTGAAACCAGCAAAAATATTACGTTAATTAAAATTCTATCATTGACAATCTATTAAAGAATCAAATCGAAATGATATTACCATAGAAACACCTTTTGATTTTAGGACTATGTGTTTTAGGAAAAAATCAATAATATTTATTTACAACCATATAGGTAATGTTGACATTTCCGACTTTTTGAAGGTTGGAAAATGTCAGTTTCCTAACTTTTACTTCCCACCCGGGGGCGGGAAGTAAATACAGATTTATTTACAACCACATAATATGTAATACTGACATTACTGACTTTTAAAAAATTTGAAAGTGTCAAATTATCTACATTTCTTCCCTCTTCCATTTCCCTCACCCATTTCCCTCACTGGGTTTTTCTTATTTCTCGCGTCATTTAATTAATAAAAATATTCTTGTAATATCTTTATTAAATACTTATCTAACATCAACAAAAATAAACAAGAAAATTAACAATAATAATTGAAGATTTTACTACATTTATTTGTTGAAGGTAAAAATGCTAGACTTCTTTGGCTTAAAACCTCCATTCTGGCGTTTTAAAAAAGCGTCGAGTTTGAGATATTTTGATATGTATCAGTCTTTTCGCTTAATTCTAGCATTGTCCGTATCATGCTGTACGTAGCCCAAGGAGTAGATGGCTTTTTCTGCCTTGCCATGTCGCTAAAATATGTCATCAAGACTGTCTCCAAAGCAATATTCTTAGCATTTCTTGCGGCACACCATTATTTTTTCGTATATATACTTTCAATGCTATTTCATACCGCCCCCTACTTTTCTCTGGAAGTAAACTGGCTTCTGCTCTTTTTGTAGCTTCTGTAACTTCTGGTGGAGTACCAATATTAAACTAGTCTTCATTATCAGAACTTTCCGACAACATTCTGGCTTTCTATGTTATATAAATTCGAAAAATCGAACGAGAAATTCAAAACTGTCACTTGTTTGTTGTAACTATAGATATGGGAATGCCAAAACAGAAAACGACAAATTTTCGCATATTTATTTTTTTTCAAAAAAAATACTGTCCCTATTTTTTAATTAATGATGTGGTTGTAAATAAAATAGTATACAAACCTCGGAAAAAAGTGTTCGTTATGATCTCGAGATTTAGTTAATCTCTCGACAGTAATGAAACACTTCCCTCCTAGGTATGTAATATATTATTTCATGTTTTTTTTTAATTTTCTCTAAAACGGTATAGAAATTTGGAAAAGTATAAACGACATTAACCTTTTTAGAAACAAGCAAAATTTTTCATGAAGAATACATTTGTCTCAAAATTTCAATAATGAAAGTTTTTCCTCTTGTAAAGACAATCATATAAAAAAGTACAGACAGAATATATTTTTGTCTTTATTTAGAGGTTGCTTATAGAAATCACATGCATATAGTGACCGATATGAGAATGCACATTACAAGAACCTCGCAAAAAAGAAGAGGTACAAAGATATTGTTAAAAGTTGCGCCATGTGGAATGCTATAGCGTCACGTTTTGAAATCTAAAAAAATCGATTACTTTCAAAGATGTTTGGGAAAAACGATTTTTTCCAATTTCGTTTATATGCAACTTTTATTTTGTTTTTTTAAAAGTATATGACCTATTTAAAAAATGCTGTTATACAGGGTGGTCGAAATTATATTCCGGAAATTTCGGTAGCATATTCTGCATATAAAAATAAGTAAAAAAGTTCGTATAAAGTTATGTCTTAAAATGCTTTGTTTCGGAGATACAGGGTGTAGAAGTTTCATTTTATTTAGATTTTTTCCAAATAATTTCTTAGCTAATGGCTTATATTATTTGGATAAAAATTGGTATCTGGGTGTTTTTTGACATGAGAATTCGATTTTGATGTCAGTATGACTCCCACTTTTAGGGGGCGCCACTTACATATTGTTTATATGCTTTGAAGAGTAATAACTTTTCATTGCAGGTACGGCAAATATACATTTTCGTCATTTTCTACGTAAAAAAGGTCTCTTGGTAAAAATATCTCAGATTAATGGTTTTCAAGATATTTGGAATCGAAAAGCCATATTAACATCGAAATCAAATTTCTCATGTTAAAAAAAACAGATAATAATTTTTATCCAATTAAGTATAAGTAATTTGTATCATACATTAGAATAATTATTTACTGTGTATACAAATATTTTTCTTGAAATTTTAGAATTATTGGAAATGCGTGGCAGCAGCGCTTTTAAATTACTTCTCAAATCCCGGATCCGAAAGGATCCAACACTTGCCGATCGTAGCGTTCGGCCCAGTCTATTTCTGTCTTTCTCCGTTGCTTCAACTGTCTCTCTCTCGTCAACATGGCTGATATATCCAAGGAAGATCTTCGCAAGGAAATTGCCGGTAAGTAGTGTTTTTTTCTCAATATAATATCCTAGGACCAGCGAAAAATACAAAACTAGACTTGTAATTTTTTTCTATTCAATTTTTGTTAATGGATTTTTGCCGGTTATCGATTGAAATCGGGCACTTTACTCTTGTACAATATATGTTATGCGGTCGGTCCGTATACAATGGCTGAACGACGCTATGGCAGTAATGAGAAATTTTTGCGTACTTTGAATCGAAAATTTCGTTGAAAGTACACGACGTAGACGAAAATGCCTGGAACAAAATCGGTGTATAAAATTATTTCTGATTTTCGTAGGTGTTTATCTCCCCGGTTTTCATATTATTTTTCAAAGTTTTCTTGAAAATGATATCACAACTTGAATAAAGAAGCCTGTACCAGACATTTTGTTTGGCATGGCTAGGGTTGATAAATTTAGGTTTTCCTGGTATTTGGTGCATCGACACTGAAAATATTTGTATAAGAACTTAGAAATAAATGTCTAACATGTTATTTGCGTATACATATGAGACTGAATAATTCTGTATAAGCTTGTTGTTAAGCGATAAAAGTTGGTGTCTGGCACGACAATTTACACATCGGCTTTTTGATTTGTGTTGTCGTTTCGCGCGCACTGGTTTGGTTGGATGCGTTTACAAAACCAGAGTTAATAATTTAAGCTCTTGCTCTTTCGATCTCCTTGATTTTTTGTATAGATTTTTATAAAACCGTTTTATTTGAAATGAATCGTATGGAAGGTACCTTTTTACCTTTTATGGTAAGTTAGGCAACCACATAAAAATGGATTGCTCGGATAGCGGGTTGTTACCGCCAACTATTCTAACAATTTTTATAATACTTAATTATAATTTTGTAGATTTTCCATATTTGATGCTTCTCAGATATAGCCATCGAATTTGGTACTTCTTTTGTTTCTAATAGTTCTATATAATTGGTGGTGTATTCAAGTTTATAATTGTTTTCCCATAGCTATCCTTAAGGATGCAGATCTGGCGTCTACATCGGCGAAAAAAGTTCGCCAAGAACTGGAAGAAAAGTTGGATGTAAAACTGCAAGCTAGAAAGAAGGAAATTGATGATCTTGTTATGGAGTTTGTAAGCTCAAAGAAAGAAGACAAGAAGAAAAAGAAGAACGATTCTGAAGATGATGGTGGGGAAGATGAGGAAGAAGAAGAGGAGGAGGAAGAGGTAAAAATACGTAAAAAATAATTTTTACACTTAAAATTCAAATTGCATTATTAATAGATATTCATTATGTCAAACATATTTAAGTAGTCACACATCATGCCTTTATCGAATGGTTTATCAAATTTTTACTTATTTTTCAATCTTAAAATATAAAAAATCCTCTGGAAAATAATATACACTCAGATGCAAAAAAAAACGCTCACTTTTTTCGTCATGTTTAAAGTGTTATTATTTTTTTACTTTTAGTCCTATTTTCATGCATTTTTTAGCAAACTGTATATAAATCTATAATATCTAAAGGGCTAGAAATAAAAAATATAAACATTTTAAACTAGGCCAAAAAAATTTCTGTTGCTTTTTTTTGCATCTGGGTGTATTTTACAAATACTTTAATGCTGACTTAATAAGTGAAACTGTAGCATGTTATTTTTCACCTTAAAGTAAGTCTGGTTTTATTTGTGTTTCAGCACTACTTTTGTAAATACATTTATGAAATGATTTTATACCAATAGTTTACTGACATGATGCGTCCTAAAATCAAAAAGTTTTATGATCAAGCATGCTTTGTCTTTTACTGCGACAGTTAAAAAAGTTCTAACACAATTTCTTATAAGAATTGTTTAGTCAAAATCATAACACACCCGAGCATAAACTTTTTAGCATTGTACCGTAGATCGAAAAAAACAGCGTCCAGTTGGCTGGGAAATTACGATCGATGACATTTTCCATACAAAATGACAGCGATCTTCATTTCATAGCCATCGCTGACGCCATTTTTTTCGATCATACGGTAACTTCCTACTGCTAAGTTTGCTAGCTTATCTTTATACCGGGTGCGTCTCAAAAGTGGCTCACCCCTACAACTTTTTTATTTTTTCAGGTAAAAAAACGATATTTCGTGTTAATATATGACATAAATTAGGATTGATTAACGTATTCAATTGTTTTTGGTCACTTCCTGGTTCACCGGAAATGACTACAACTTTTGATTTTTAAATAGCACCCTCGATACTTTATTTTTTATTCGATAGAAAATGACATTCTCGCTTAAAACAAAATTGAATTTTAAAATTCAATCTAGAGTGCCATGGTTATGTTAAAAACGCTAATTCTTATCCAAGGAGCCTTGGAAAAACAGATTTGATTGTCTAATGTTTTTAATGTCTTGTCCTGGCCAGTTAGAAAATGCTCAAATCGTATTTTTAATCATACCTCAATTTTTTCAAATGGAACGAGGGTGGCTCGTTAGCATATTTGGAAAAAGCATTTTTTGCAAATAATTTGGTACCACACTCTTGGTATTTCGAGTCAAATTTTCGTTACGAACTGCAAGTTATAATTTCAAATAAACCATATGCAAAAGTGTCAAAAGTTATGAGTCATTCTATTCAGAATGTCATTTTCTATTGAATAAATTAAAAAGTACTGATGGTGCCATTTAAAAATCAAAAGTTGTAGTCATTTCCGGTGAAACAGGAAGTGACCGAAAACAATTGAATACATCAATCAATCCTAATTATGTCATATACTAACATACCAAATCTCGTTTTTTAACTGTAAAAATAAAAAAGTTACACGGGTGAGCCACTTTTGAGACGCACCCGGTATTTAAAAAAAAAGAGAAATGTCAAAATTGAGGGTTTACTTTTGTCTATTTAGGAGGAGGATTCTGAAAGTGATAAGAAAAAGAAACGTGGATCGACCAGCAAAAAGCCACCAGCAAAGAAAACCAAGAAAGACAGCGAGGAAGAATCAGGAAGTGAGCAAAGCGAGGGGGATTCAGAAGAGGAGTATTCTCCCAAAAAAGCGGCCAAACCAGCTAAAACTAGGAAACTTCCTCCTAAGAAGAAGAAGGGTTCAGAATCAGACTCTGATGAAGACTGGGGAAAGAAAAAAGGAGGCAAAAAAGGAGTAAGTTCTTTTATATAAACGGTAAAGGGAAAATATGTTTATTTTATCGAAATCTACCAGCCCTGAAAATATTTGCACTTATTTAAGACTCAGAAGAGGTTTAGATAGAAACAGAAACCAGAAGTTTTAGACATATATGATCATGATATAACGTCGAGAAGCTTTTTTATTTTTGTTTTGATTTTTTAAATAATATATACATAGGCTTGAATTTAAAATAACAATGATTTGGGCGATTCTACAACAAGCAGAAATATGTTTTTGATCCTGTTTAAATAATAATGCCTTTATTGTCAAAAATTTTTACAATTTGTAGACAAAGGTAAAGTAAACAAACAAACAAAAGAGAATACAAAACAAGTATACAAATTACATTGTCAGTCTTATTGTATGTCAAAGAATAAAACAATAAAAATAAGATTCAAAAATATTTAGTAAGTTTATAGTAAATATAGTAATGGAAAATATTAGACCAGTGTTTAGAAGATCAAATTCGATTATCAAAATATAAGTCATTTACGGCGTAGAAAGCCTTGTCTAGTAAATAAGATTTCAATGCTTTGCGAAATGAAGAAAATGATGTTATTGATTTGATTTCAAATGGCAGGTGATTGTGCATTTTTTTCGAGTTGTATAATATTGAACTTTTAACTAACTCTGAGCGTGTGGTAGGTAGATAAAGATCTTGCTCCGCGTATATTTTTAATATCCGTATGTTTGATTTAGACAGGTCGAATATGTCGACTTTCCTTAACCTGTAAAACAAATTTCAGCTTTCAATATGCTGAATTTATGATTTAACCAACGCTTTATTCAAGATCATGTTTTTGTCAACTTTACACACGTTTTATTTTTTATCTTGAAAACTGTTAGAGATAGGTAGAGGTTAATAAAATAGAAAAATGATGAGATATGAAAGTATTTTCGAAAAATGTAATACACCATTTAAAGTAAAATAGATGCTACCACTTTTAGTATGAATTACGGCAACACTAATGCTGGAAATAATTTAGACAGATGGAGCAGGTGCCTTTATACAAAAATTCAATTTTTTAAAAAAAATCTCGTGTTCTCCATAAACGTCTAACCTGCCGTCGCATCGCCGCGAATCACTCTGTATAACTACGAAATTTTAATACATATTTATCATTATTGAAAAAAAACACTTTACAAATTGGTAATATTACCATTTGATGAAAAACAGAGGTATCAAAATATAACAAAAAATGTTTTTAGATTAAGCAACATTTCTATGATGACGTTTGTCGTGATCGTAAACAACTAGTACTTACAAATAGTAGGGTTCAAATAGCGAGAATACGAAAAATGTATTTAGTTATTCTAAAAGCGTTAGGAAGTACCTATAATTTGTGAAAATTCTAAAAATAAAAATAAAAAAGTAAATATTTTGTTATCTTCAGAAGGTCTAACTTGTATTATAATTTATTATTCCAGTTAAAAAAAATTTAGATGAGTTCAACTACGGTAGCGAGCATAGATTTAATTACCGGTTTTGCTAGTGAGGCATAATTGGGGCTACTTCGGCTATAACGAAAATTTTTAAATGTACATAATAATTATAATTTTAGAAGATTCATAAAACATTATTTAATCACTAATAGTTGATTAAAAAAGTATAGGATTAATATTGCAAATTATATTTTATCCTCTCATAGTATATGTCTATTTAGTTTTTTTGATTATGTAACGAGCACTTTGTTTACTCACTTGTTTCGTCGAACTGCTTCAATCCATTTTTGCTTTTGACCAAATCGGTGTGAGAAGCTGTGAAGCTATAAAATGTTGTTTCGGGAGAGTTGAATATCCAGGAATGGTTGAATTATTGAATGTTATTGCACCCAACAACGCCCTAATTACGCTCTCCTTTACGCGTTAACATTTTTTCGGCAATTTTATTAACATTTGAAATTGTCACAACACAACACGATGCGCGACGTCCTAGTCCGAATTCTTTTTCGCTTATTTTTTACTACCAGAAACAGCGTTACATCACACAAACCTCGTACCTGAGTGTTTTATAGTCTCAATAACTGCACTAGCAAAAAACTAAAATATTTGAATATTATGACAAAACCACGATTTCAATATTATTTTAATACGATCCACATGACGGCAGCGTGAAATAGGTACTGATAATTTCTGATTTTAGCCGTTGAAGCGCTGCGGTCGGAATTTGTTGAAATGGACTGAAATGCACCAAGCCTATTAAGCAGCGTCAGAAGTGACGATCGATGGCTTTCTGTAAAATTCTAGTCAACTTGGCACTAAATTTGTTTTCAATCAGGAGGAATTTTGACACTCAGAAAAAAATAATAAGATTTTTTTATACTAATTCCCGATTTCTTTCAGGGTGGCGGAGCCAAGAAAGGTAGCGGTTACACCAAACAGTTACAACTTTCACCCGAACTGGCTGCTTTGGTAGGAGCAGAGGCGATGGCTCGGCACGAAGTTGTTAAGAAGATGTGGTCCATAATAAAGGAGAAAAATCTTTACGACCCAAAGAATAAGCAGTACGCCATATGCGACGATGCATTGCTGAAAGTAATCGGTACCAAACGTTTCCGAACGTTCGGTATGATGAAATATTTGAAAAATCATTTTATCAGTTAAGTTATTTTACCTATTAGTAGGAGTAAGTTTTAAATTAGCTCTTTGGCACAAGCAGTACCGTGTTCTTAATCTTGGAGTAATTTGAAACCTATACAGTTGTGTGAAAAAATAAACTCTTTGGCATTTTAAAATATACAGGTTTCAAATTTGCCATTCACTTTACTCCTACTTCTTTGTCCTGGGATTTTTTAAATGTTTATGTTTTACATTTTATATATTTTCTTTATACTAATTATCATTAATAAAACATTAGCCAATAGAAAACGTTGCCTGATAGAGAGATGTTAGACCACGCAAAATATCAGTTTTGCATGTTTTTTATGATAAAAGAAAATTATTAATTATATTTCTTGATAAATTCTAGTCTCAAAAATTTTACATTTTTCTGAAAATGCTTGTGCACAAAATAATTAGAACTACAGGATACAACTAGCTTCTACGTCCCACTAGTCAACTCGCATACCAAACAATGTTGCCGTTTGCTGTCGCTTTATTTTATGAATGGTTTACATATACAAGACATATACTGTATGATCTTGGAAATGAACATCGATGACATTCCCCATACAATTTATTTGGTTAATAGGTGAAATGAATACCAGTATTTCTAATAGCAGTATTTGCTGCGAATGTAATCGCAGTTTTGTGTGCTTCGGAAACACGTTAAAAAATTTCATCAAAATCAGAGGAATTATTACCGCCTTTAAAAACTAAAGTATATACATTTACCTGCGAATTTTGTTTGATTTAAAAAATTAGTGAAATATTACGTAATTTAACCCGACATTTGTGTGAAAAATGTCTATTTGGAAATAAAACAGGGTTTAAAATACGCGCCAAATAAAGCACTTCTATCTCCGCCATATTGGAAAAGGTTGAATAGCCTTAAGTGGAGGGGGTGGTGGTTTAGCTGACAATAAAAAAAGTCATGAAATTAAGGGACAACAAACGGCAACATTGTTGGGTATGCGAGTTGACTAGTGGGACGTAAAAGCTAGTCATGAAAGCAGTATAGAGGTCCAAAATCTCTCTATAGGCAGAATAGTTTTTATATGTTCATTAGTGTAACTTAAGTTTTTTGTGACTGATTATAACTATAGAGAGTTGATGTAGAAATCTTAATTGGAATTCAATTACCAATTTGAAATTTGCTCTTATCTATTTAAGACAGTACATGTCTTATTTTAAATTCATGTATAACTGCTACATATTCTTGTGTAATGAAAAATAAAGTATGTATGTAAAAAGAATATTTTTTTTATTAAGTAATTAAAGCAGCTATTTACTGTAGAATCTACTGGAATCTGCTGACTGCTGCTCTATGTGGATATGACATTATGACAACCTAGTCTGTACCCCTTGGTTCTTAGTTTCTACTCCTAACATAAAATAATGAATGGGTAGACTTAAATCCTGCAGAATAAATGCAATGCTTATTTACAACACTTGCATACAAAATGCATTTATTTGGTTACTTTGCCAATATATATCATAAAACATTCCCCTTTAGAACTTTTTCTTTAATGGCCATAAACGGGAGAACCAACCGCCCGAACAAACACTAGAGGCGCCACCGGTCATCAAATGGTGTAAAAATTGCGAAAATTTAATCATCTAATTTTGACACAAGGGGTCGCGCTTAACTTTTTCAATTTTAATTCAATATTCATTGTTTTCAAACTATATTATTAGACTTAATTGTTGTATTTTGTGAATGTATAAATGTTTTCTTAGTATAAAGTTGCATTAGTAATTTAAATTATATTACATACATATTGTTACGGATTCCGTGGGTCCACTAATTTAAACTCACGATAAAATACTTAACGAATTTATTTTCTCACTTTATACACAATTACTAACTTATAACCCACAACAAACTAACTATTTATAAGATTCCTTCACCAAATTGTCCGATTTTCAATTTCCACGCGGTATATTCAAATTTCAAAAACTGTTTTATATTTTAGTATTAAAATTTCTGTTCAATTGAATATTGCTTTGAACTACGAGGCATTAAAGGTGTGCCAGCTGCCAGTCAGATAAGGATGAGGCAACTGCCCCACCCAGGGCCTATTTTACCATAAGGCCCGGGCTTTGGGCCCTGTGGTCTGGGGGCCCGTTAAAGGTTGTAAAATATGCATAATTTCTTGAATTTTTGAATTTTAATGGAAAAGAGGGCCCATTTTTTGCTTGGGCCTTAGGGCCCGACCAGATGAAAATAGGCCCTGGCTCCACCCCGGCTACTACTCCCATGCACATGCCCCCTGCGTCCTTTTACGTTTGTTCTTCTCTGTTTAAAACCAGTCGCCACTGAAAGTATTAATTCTATGCGATTTATAATATTCTCAGTCTATTAGTGTACAGGGTGTCCCATTTCCGTATGTTTTACAGGATTTCCTGTTTATGAGTAGAGAAAACGTGTGGAAACGATACAAAGAAAGAGAAGTCTGTGTAGAAACTCTTCTAAAGAATATACATTTTATTATTTTTAATTTCATATTATTCTTTTTTGTATTCGTATGGTTTCATTGACACTAAAATCCAGTGTTAAAAGGTTGACGTTTCATGTAGTTTTTAAAATAAATATATACAAGGCGTACCAAAAAATTCACAACAATGGGGATCATTTGTTATTCACTCGGTTATTCTGTTATTGAAAAAAGTTTTTGCGGATTTTGTACTGCATGTCTAATAACAAAAAAAAAACATTTTGATATAATGACGATATAATAATTGCAAAAATCTCTACCTATTAGATTTGCAAAATGCAAAAAGTAAGGTTAGGTGACAAAGTATCAAAAAAAGCCAAAGAAAAAACTTGGGCAAAATACGTGTCTTTCAAGTTTGATAAATGTACAGGAACTTCAAAACACATTTTCAAATTTTTGAAAAAAAATGTAACAAAATTTTGAGGTTTGAGGTATACAAATTTTGACAATATGTGTCCTTTTATATGGTGAGAATTAGAGATGGGCAAAAGTAACCGGTTTTTTGAATAACCGGTATTTTCCTCTAAAATAACCTGTTATTTAAAGGTAGTTTTTTTTTCACCAGTTAACCTAATACCCTTGCATTAAGTTCAATAACCTATAGCCGGTTATTTTTTAAAAAATCGTACTTGTTTAAAACAAGTAACAATTAAATATTAGCTGTTTGAATCGTAAATTTCGAAGGAGCGAACGGCACGGATCTTCCAGATATTACGACGATAACGGGAGATCCCGCTCCCGCTCCCAAAACGAAAATATATGACATCAAACATCAAATGTCAAAATTAAATCAGGCATCAGGCGAACCCTGATGATAATAATCAAAACAACGGCCAAATGGCCCTGACAGGTCAGGCCGTAAAACAAAGTACTAATGGCATAGACTACTACTAGCCACCAGCTAGCCAAGTGATACGAACCTAACTTCAAATAGATTCTCTAAATTCTATATTTAAATTTTAACCGACTTTAACGGATTTTCAACGGTTCTTCAAAAGTTTTCCATGGTTTCGCCCAGTTTCACCCACGTTTCACCGTAAATATATTTTATTTGTAGTTTGAAGTCTCTCTTGAAGCTTAGACTAAGAATACAAAATTGAAGTTCAAGTAATGAATGAAGATAATCTTTCATTATTTATTCATTTTAATCTCTTTATTTTTCTTTGGTATTTGATTAAAATAAATTGGTTGTAGATTGTAGAACTTGTGAGTTGTGTGGTTTATTTGAACGTTAAGTAATTACTAGTTTTAATATCATATCCATGTCTAGTCAAAAAAGTGAGGTTAGCATTTTTATTTAAACTCATTTTGTACATATACATACTTACATTGCTACAATCTCTATTTAATCATGCGATTTAACTAAGTTTATTATCTAAATTTGAAGTAGACCTATGGTGTGTAGAGGTAAGTAAACCTATAGGAAAACTAAATATTTAGTTTTGCTAGGTTAGGTTATTTGAATAACCGGTTAATTTGTGTCGGTTAATTTTGTCAAGTTATTATTTTTGAAAGATAATTCCGGTTAACCTATAACCGGTTTTTTACCAATAACCGCCCATCTCTAGTGAGAATACAATATTATACCATCTTCTATCTCCTGTAATAGTTGTAATTCGTAAAGCTTTAGGAATCGCTCCTTACTTTATGAAAGGAGATATTTGCAAATTTTCTTCAGTGATAAGCTTACCTGTTTTAGAATTCTGTTAGAGTATTTTTGAATTATACCATCCATATTCTATTATTATTCTTTGCCGCAGAATACATTTCTGCCATTTCTGCTTTTAATGAGAACGGACCATCCTATATGGAAAAGCAAAACCGACACTCTAGGGTGAAGCTTAACCCATTTTAGGGACACAACATATTTGAAGCAGATGTCTACAATTCATAGGCAATTTTCTACACAGAATACCAAGATTGAAAATTCAAGAATTAGCAACAACTTATTAAGAACACCACAATGCTCACTAATCAAATCCACTAAATGAAGCAAGTTGGACGCCCGGTTTTTACCGAGATTTATAGCACAGTGTTGCCAGGTCCACAGCTTTATTACCCAAAATGAGAAAAAATATTTTTGTAAGTAGGATTTTACTAATTTTTCTTTAAAATGTCTATCAAAACGAAATATTGTATATTCTTTTCAATAATATAGAGTTAATTTATAGATACTGTGATATCGTCATTGCACCGACGGCAAATCATAAAACATAAACTCCTGCTAGTATAAGCTAAAAACAATTAAGGCCCGACCGGGATCTCGGTCTCGGTTACAACCATTCTCGAAAATCAGGCCGAGTTCTTGTCTTGTTCTCGGTATAAAAATGTCGAGACTATATTATATTTATTATAATTCTTTCCAAGTACTTTTAGTGATTGAAATTTGAAACTTGAGGGTAAAATAAGCTATTATAAGTGCTACATATTTTAATGCTAAAAAGTGTCGATCCATTTATCAGAGACGTGCGTATGGCCGGGTTATCACTGGAATAATTTTCAAAAAAAGCATGTGCCCTACTGATTTACTTTCTACCTTGTAGTCAAAATTTATATTTAATAAACTGTAAAATATATATATTCTTATGTTTTATTAAAGTTACTCTGATATATTAATATATCAGTGTAACTTTAAAACTAAATCCTTTGAAATCAAATATAAACATAAAAAATATTTACAGCAGAAAAGGCAAAGGCGCTGGGTTAAACGTAGTCTCTACTAAGAACACGGAGGGGCACTTTGACCCAAAATTTTACTATTAAGTTTCATATCTATCTTAATAGAAGATTATTTTCTTTTATCTATGACGGACACTGCTTGTCAGAAGAACGTCAACGGTTTCTTGTAGACGTATTTTGGACGTATTTGTTTTAAAAAATAAAGTGTTCTCGAATAAATGAATTTAAATATTTTAAATAGTTTTTTTCTTTATTCTTTGTAGTTTTTTTGCTTCCGACGACGGAAAGATAAACTTTCCGAAACGTTAAGCATTTTTTTCTTTGTTAGGCAAATTTGTATAACTGTAAACATAACTTCTGACGAGCAGTGTCTGTTTAGGTTTAACGCAGAAGTGTTTACAAAAAATAACTATTTTATTTTGTAGATTTTCTTGCAGTGCAGTGGCGAAATACCCATAAAGGATTTTTTTGGAGAGATGAATCCGCCACATAGGTATAGACATTTTTTATATCTAATATTCTCTTTACCTAAACTCAATAACTATATGCCCAATTCCACTCAATCTTAATATTATCCTATTGTATCGATAATGATAGTCATAAAAATTATTTTATATTTTAGTATTAAAATTTCTGTTCAATTGAATATTGCTTTGAACTACGAGACATTAAAGGTGTGCCAGCTGCCAGTCAGATAAGGATGAGGCAACTGCCCCACCCAGGGCCTATTTTACCATAAGGCCCGGGCCTTGGGCCCGGTGGTCTGGGGGGCCCGTTAAAGGTTGTAAAATATGCATAATTTCTTGAATTTTTGAATTTTAATGGAAAAGAGGGCCCAAATTTTTGCTTGGGCCTTAGGGCCCGACCAGATGAAAAGTAGGCCCTGGCTCCACCCTGGCTACTCCCATGCACATGCCCCTGCGTCCTTTTACGTTTGTTCTTCTCTGTTTAAAACCAGTCGCCACTGAAAGTATTAATTCTATGCGATTTATAATATTCTCACTCTATTAGTGTACAGGGTGTCCCATTTCCGTATGTTTTACAGGATTTCCTGTTTATGAGTAGAGAAAACGTGTGGAAACGATACAAAGAAGGAGAAGTCTGTGTAGAAACTCTTCTAAAGAATATACATTTTATTATTTTTAATTTCACATTATTCTTTTTTGTATTCGTATGGTTTTATTGACACTAAAATCCAGTGTTAAACGGTTGACGTTTCATGTAGTTTTTAAAATAAATATATACAAGGCGTACCAAAAAATTCACAACAATGGGGATCATTTGTTATTCACTCGGTTATTCTGTTATTGAAAAAAGTTTTTGCGGATTTTGTACTGCATGTCTAATAACAAAAAAAAACATTTTGATATAATGACGATATAATAATTGCAAAAATCTATACCTATTAGATTTGCAAAAATGCAAAAAGTAAGGTTAGGTGACAAAGTATCAAAAAAAGCCAAAAAAAAACTTGGGCAAAAATACGTGTCTTTCAAGTTTGATAAATGTACAGGAACTTCAAAACACATTTTCAAATTTTTGAAAAAAAAATGTCACAAAATTTTGAGGTTTGAGGTATACAACTTTTGACAATATGTGGCCTTTTATATGGTGAGAATACAATATTATACCATCTTCTATCTCCTGTAATAGTTGTAATTCGTAAAGCTTTAGGAATAGCTCCTTACTTTATGAAAGGAGATATTTGCAAATTTTCTTCAGTGATAAGCTTACCTGTTTTAGAATTCTGTTAGAGTATTTTTTGAATTATACCATCCATATTCTATTATTATTCTTTTTGCCGCAGAATACAGTTCTGCCATTTCTGCTTTAATGAGAACGGACCATCCTATATGGAAAAGCAAAAACCGACACTCTAGGTGAAGCTTAACCCATTTTAGGGACACAACATATTTGAAGCAGATGTCTACACCATAGGCAATTTTCTACACAGAATAACACTAAGACACTGAAAATTCAAGAATTAGCAACAACTTATTAAGAACACCACAATGCTTCACTAATCAAATCCACTAAATGAAGCAAGTTGGACGCCCGGTTTTTTACCGAGATTTATAGCACAGTGTTGCCAGGTCCACAGCTTTATTACCCAAAATGAGAAAATATTTTTGTAAGTAGGATTACTAATTTTTCTTTTTAAAATGTCTATCAAAAACGAAATATTTGTATACTTTTCAATAATATAGAGTTAATTTATAGATACTGTGATATCGTCATTGCACCGACGGCAAATCATAAAAATATAAACTCCTGCTAGTGTAAGCTAAAACAATTAAGGCCCGACCGGGATCTCGGTCTCGGTTACAACCATTCTCGGCGAAAAATCAGGCCGAGTTCTCAGTCTTGTTCTCGGCATAAAAATGTCGAGACTATATTATATTTATTATAATTTTCTTCCAAGTACTTTTAGTGATTAGAATGAAACTTTGAGGGTAAAATAAGTTATTATAAGTGCTACATATTTTAATGCTAAAAATGTGTCGATCCATTTATCAGAGACGTGCGTATGGGCAAGTATGGGTTATCACTGGAATAATTTTCAAAAAAAAACATGTGCCCTACTGACTTTTTTTCTTTTGATATCAAAATTGTGAAGGCCGTTTAATGTCTATTAAAAGTTATCTCTTGATATTTTGTCGAATTTTGCCTCCTTGATGAGATAAACGCATTTTTATTAATCACAATTAATAAAATTAAAATAAAATTAACAAATTGTATATTTTACCTAATTTGTAATTAAATATTATTACTATTAGAAGGCTATTAGTTATTATTACTATTAGTCCAACCTACAGAGCACTTTCAAATAAAAAATGGCATTTAAGATAATTACAAAAACTCTGATTTTAAAAAGTTTAACATCCTGTAACTCATATGACTAACTATGTTTATAGGATTTTTTTTTTCATATTTTTGATGAGGAATCAATGAGTACTTATTTAAAACTTTCGCAAGTTAATGATATTAAAATTTTTTAAAGGTTGCTATTATTAGACTTGGATCAAGGCAAATTAATAAAATTGCGTTCATCTCATCAATAAGGAGGCTGAAATCGACAAATATCAAGAGACAACTTATAATCGGCATTAATAAATTGCTTATACTATTTCGCTAACATGAGAAAAAAGTCATTGGCGTACATGCTTTATTTTTAGAAAGATGTTCATCAGTGATAACCCATATGTACGTCCCTGGTGAATATGTCAACACTTTTTTATCTTTAAAATATGTCGTATTTATAGTAACTTTTACCCTCAAAATGTCATTCGAAACGCTAAAAGTACTTGGAAGAAAATTATAATAAATCGAAAAAATATTAGAGATATATTAATTATAAAAAAGAAATAAATAGTGAGGGAAATGTAAAAAAAAGGAGAAAAAAGATTAAACGGCTCAGCCCTCAACAACTCGTAACCGTATACACCAGTGTACACCAGTGCAGACACGCACACTCACACTCACACAACCACACCTACACTGGTGCACACTGATGTAACTGCCTTCAGGCTTCATCAGTACGGTAAGGAATCAGGAAGCGAAGAAACCGATCCCAAAACACAAAAAAAACAGGAAACAAACGATGCAACGAGGCACCGTGTGCAACCCAGGAGATGGAAAAACAAAATTGATGAAGAAACGAAAATAAAAGATGGAAAATAAAAGGAGCAAACGGGAGCCTAAAGCCCCAATTTGCAGCCAAGAACCAGAGTCATCCAGGATTGTGGGCTTCGTCCCGAATAGCCGCGGAGGTAGCCAACAGCAACCCGCCGCAATACCCTTAGCCGTGGTACCAATATGAAAAAGAAATAAATAGTGAGGGAAATGTAAAAAAAAGGAGAAAAAAGATTAAACGGCTCAGCCCTCAACAACTCGTAACCGTATACACCAGTGTACACCAGTGCAGACACGCACACTCACACTCACACAACCACACCTACTCTGGTGCACACTGATATAAATCTATAATTATAGAAATAAATCTCATTTTTACGTGAGAAATCTCCCCACGAGAGATGGCACATGTTATTTCAAACTGTATAATCTATGGAGTGTAGAGGTAAGGAGAAATAAATATCTTCGTGCATTAAAAAATGGTCATAAAAAGGGAAGACTTAAGATGGCGCTGTTATAGCAAAAACATAAAATTTAAAATATGCGCCAAAATGTTTACAACAGGAAATTATCATATATAGAAATTATTCAAAAGAGATAAATATTTGCCGTGAAGGCGCGGGTTTCAAAAAAATACAAATTTTATTTTCATGTCACATGAAATAAATTATCCATTTTTACTCGGCAGCAATAGACTGGGCCTATAGCTAATATATAAAAATAATTGTTTTATATTCTAAAAAATAAAACCAAAGCTTTTTTTGGGTAATGTTTGGTTATGTTACTTTTATTCTCTTATCTATGGTTACTTTTAATTTTTTAGATTTATGCGTTATTAGCGCTACTGTGGTTACTTGGTGAATCCTTATTCTTCCCATTTTTGGTGGCCACCGTGGCCACTTTTTCAAATAAAGTCCCATAAGAGATATTTCTCCTCATCTCTACACTCTACACTCTAATATAATCTAATCGAACTCGAATCACGAAGGGGATTTCCCGGGCGTATAAAGCATCGCCTTCGTATTTCAATGCGTAGTGTCGTTAGTGTCTTATTATTTTAATAAAATTGTGATTTTATATGAATTACTCATATAACCTACTAATAAGTGAAACTATTTTGTGTGTAATTATTCATCTCCATCACGGTAGCAGGTAGATACCTCTCTGCAGTCCCAGTGGGGAGTAGATCTACTTCAGGGCCTTAGCAACCCTGCCGATGCGAGCTCTTAATTTTCTCTTACTTCCCATTTCCTTGAGAGAAATCATGACCCATCCCATCGTCCTATCCATCCTCCTATTATATCCTACCTATATCCTTTTCATGCAGTAGGGCAGGGGAATCCACTGCATTATCTTCCCATGACAGTCAGTATGATGTGTAATGAAGCAAGACGATAGGCCTCGGACAACGTCATGCAATCCGATTGACAACCGGCGCTACCTTGATTCCGGGTCAAGTAGTGGTAAATCAGCTACCGGCCGCAAGAATATCAAAGGCCAGGATTCTTGCGGACATAAGGAAGCTACTGGCCTTACAAACAACAAACTATATATACAAATGAGGAATACCCTGAGCGTGGCTACGTGGAATGTACAAGGACTTAAAACTCATACCGGGAAACTAGCAATTATAGAAAAGGAACTGTCCAGATATAAAATCGATATTGCAGGATTATCGGAGACACATTGGATAGGTCAAGGATTCTTCAAAACTAGTCTTAATAACTATGTCTACTTTTCAAGCGCCGATCAACAAAATTATACTGGTGTTGCAGTCATTGTATCCGAAAAATTACAGAAATATGTTTTGGACTTTAAAGCTATAAGCGACAGAATCATGGCCTTAAAATTAAACGCCAGGCCAAACCCAATAAATATTGTTCAGGTGTATGCTCCGACTGCTGCTTCGAGCGATGTCGACATCGACCATTTCTACCATGACGTAAGAAGTTCTCTCCAAAACATTCTGAACAAAGAGCTAACCATAGTAACCGGCGACTTCAATGCTAAAATTGGAGATACAACTGATAACGAACATATTAAAACTATTGTTGGCAAATATGGTATCGGTGTAAGAAATGAACGGGGTGAACGCTTACTTGACTTTGCAATCGAAAACAATCTAACTATAATGAACACAACATTTCAATATCATATCCGAAGGCTCTACACATGGAATAGTCCAGGGGCGCTATTCTGTACAATCGTCGGAATCGGTGAGTTACCGATAGCTATCGGTACGTATTTGCATATAGTAAATATGTGTTAATTGTTGTTGTCATAGTTACCGATCGGCCCTATGACAGATGTCGTAAATTTGTACCGACGACTCTCGGTATCTCTACCGTGAGGTTGACAAGGGCACGGTAGAGATACCGATTTTCGTCGGTACAAATTTGCGATATCTGCCATAGGACCGATCGGTAACTATGGCAACAACAATTAACACATTTTTACTATATACAAATACGTATCGAGAGCTGTCGTAACTTACCGATACCCACGATTTTACAGAATAGCGCCCCTGGGGCGCTATTCTGTACAATCATCGGTATCGGCAAGTTACCGACAGCTATCGGTACGTACGGCCAATGAGTGTCGTGTTGATTGTTGTTGTCATAGTTTTAGCTGTCATTAATAGGACATATAGCAAATTTGTACCGACGACTCTCTGTATCTCTACCGTGAGGTTAACAAGGGCACGGTAGAGATACCGATGTTCGTCGGTACAAATTTGCGATATCTGTCATAGGACCGATCGGTAACTATGACAACAACAATTAACACATTTTTACTGTATACAAATATGTATCGAGAGCTGTCGGTAACTTACTGATACCGACGATTGTACAGAATAGCGCCCCAGGAGACAGAGTACGCAACCAGATAGATTATATTCTCTCTAACTCGAGATGGAGAACCTCGTTCAGGACAGTACGGACTTACCCCGGAGCAATATGTGGCTCGGATCATAAGTTACTGGCAGCAAAGATTCGTATAAAGTTAAAAAATGTTGTAAGAAAACCAAGATCAAATCAGATGGAGATCCCCGACGTAACACATTTCCATCAAGAACTACTGAAAACATCGTGGAACATTAACGAGAACACCCAACCCCAACAGATTTGGATAGACTTTAAAAATTGTCTGAGTAATGCCACTTCTCGACAACTAAACAAAAGACAAAAAAACAAAAAAAATTGAACAAAGACGAACATTAGTGCAAAGTGGTATAAAAACACAAGATGAAAAAGATAAATATAGAAAAATAAATACAGAGATCAAACACAATTGCACCATCGACAAGAACAACTACTATGAAAAAATATGCCAGGAAATAGAATTTCACGCTTTCACAAATCAACCAGGGGACCTATTTAAAAAGATAAAATACCTCACAAGAGAATTCAAGCCAAAAACATGGGCAATAGAAGACGATCGAGGACAACTTAAAACCGAAATTAACGAAATAGTGGAACGATGGCGAACATACTGCGGAACACTGTATAAAGAAAAAGATCCTCAGCCTAGTTCCTCTTTCCACAGTGATATAATTAATGAAGAACCAGACATACTGAGATCGGAAATTGAAGCAGCAATAAAAAACCTAAAACATCATAAAGCCCCGGGACCAGATTACATCACGGCCGAAATGCTCCAAGCGTCGGGAGATTTTGGTGTGGACATCTTGCACAAGTTATGTAATATGATATGGCATACTCACCACTGGCCATCAGATTGGACCGATTGTTCCATAATAACCATCCACAAAAAGGGATCTCCAGCCAAATGCGACAACTTTCGTACCATTGCGCTAATTTCACATGCCAGTAAGATTCTTCTTCATATCATTAACGAAAGGTTAAAACCGTATATTCAACCATAAATCCCTCCAGAGCAAGCAGGATTCACAAGAGGTCGAGGAACACGTGAACAAATTTTGAGTATCCGTCAGATTATCGAAAAGGCCCGAGAATTTAACAATCCGCTCTATATTTCTTTCATAGACTATCGAAAAGCTTTTGACCAAGTCAGATGGTCAAAACTATGGATGGTTCTAAAGAAATGGGTGTGCCTCTTCATTTGATTTCATTGATCCAGAATCTCTATGTAAATACCAAAAGTAGAATTACCATCAATGGCGTTACTTCGGAAGACTTCCAGCCTACCTGTGGTGTCAGGCAGGGGTGCATACTATCTCCTCAGTTATTCAATATATATACTGAATATATCATGAGAAGGGCATTGGAACATTGGCAAGGGGGGATAAAACAATTAATTGTCACAAAATTACCAACCTCAGATTTGCAGACGATACGGTCCTTCTAGCGGGAAACGAGGAAGAGTTACTAAGACGAAAGCGAGAAACTTGGACTTGAAATTAATCCCTCTAAAACAAAAATTATGATTATCGACAGGCAAAACAACAACAAACCTGATGTAGTGAGCATTGGTCGTTTTGAGGTTTAAGTCAATATATATATATATATATATATATATATATATATATATATATATATATATATATATATATATATATATATATATATATATATATATATATATATATGTATATATATATATATATATATATATATATATATATATATATATATATATATATATATATATATATATATATATCTTGGGTCACTTATAAACAACACGGGATCGTTAGAAGGCGAAATAAGAAGATGTGAAATGACAAGAGTGGCAGTGCGAAAACTCTCAAAGATATGGCGAGACAAAAACATATCTAAACACTTAAAAAAAGGCTTGTTCACTGCCTAATATTTCCTATATTAATGTATGGCTCCGAGTCCTGGACGATGAGACAGTCAGAAATGAAAAAAATTGACGCAACTGAGATGTACTGTTGGCGACGAATGCTCAGAATTCCCTGGACTGCCCGGCGAACCAATGAATCCATAATCCAAGAACTGAACATCACAGAACGCCTCTCAACTTCTATACAGTCACGTATACTTAAATATTTCGGTCACGTTATGAGGAGGGATGCTGACTGTATGGAAAAACTCATTATACAGGGCAAGATTCCGGGAAGAAGACCAAGAGGCCGCTCGCCCGCTGGTGAGTATGCCATATCATATTACATAACTTGTGCAAGATGTCCACACCAAAATCTCCCGACGCTTGGAGCATTTCGGCCGTGATATGATCTGGATCCGGGGCTTTATGATGTTTTAGGTTTTTTATTGCTGCTTCAATTTCCGATTTCAGTATGTCTGTTCCCGAATAGTTGCCTTTAAATATTTTAAATATTTTTTTTTCTTTATTCTTTGTATTTTTTTGGGGTTCCGACGACGGAAAGAGATAAACTTTCCGAAACGTTATGTATTTTTTTGTTCGTTAGGTAAATTTGCTTATCAGTAAACCTAACTGCTGACAAGTAGTTTCCGTTGGTTTAACGCAGAAGTGTTTACAAAAAAACTATTTTATTTTGTAGATTTTCTTGCAGTGGCGAAATACCCATATAGCATTCCTTGGAGGTCTGGATATTTGTTCGCTTTTGCTCAGTTATTCTCGTCATTCTCGTTAATTCTCGGAGAATGTTCTTCGAAAATAAGTTCTAGTCTTTAGAACACTAGTGATGGCATCACATCACCACGAATCATAAGAACTTTGCCTTTAATCTTCTGTTGATGTTAATATCTGTAAAAAAATGTCTATACCTATGTGGCAGATTCATCTCTCTAAAAAATCCTTTATGGGTATTTCGCCACTGCACTGCAAGAAAAATCTACATAATAAAACAGTTATTTTTTGTAAACACTTCTGCGTTAAACCTAAACGGACACTGCTTGTCAGAAGTAATGTTTATAGTAATAAAAATTTGCCTAACAAAGAAAAAATGCTTAACGTTTCCGTCGTCAAAAACAAAAAAATACAAAGAATAAAGAAAAAAAAACTATTTAAAATATTTAAATTCAACTATTCGAGAACACTTTACTTTTTTTAAAACAGATACGTCTACAAGAAACCGTTGACGTTCTGTTAAAATGACGTCATTAATCTGTTTTAAAAAAAGTATAGTGTTCTCAAATAGCTGAATTTAAATATTTTAAATAATTTTTTTTTTCTTTATTCTTTGTATTTTTTTGCTTCCGACGACGGAAAGAGATAAACTTTCCGAAACTTTAAGCATTTTTTTCTTTGTTAGGCAAATTTTTATTACTATAAACATAACTTCTGACAAGCAGTGTCTGTTTAGGTTTAACGCAGAAGTGTTTACAAAAAATAATTATTTTATTTTGTAGATTTTTCTTGCAGTGCAGTGGCGAAATACCCATAAAGGATTTTTATGTTAATATCTGTATTGAGTCGTGGTGCTGTAGAAGATAAAATATAGACTAATTTCAGCCTTTGGCGTGTAATTTTGAAACTATAGTTATAATTCGTGGTTTACATAATAAAAATATACTTATGAATTGTCTATAGGTAATGTTAAGTCAGCAATAAATTGTTGGTCATCTTTTCTGCCTCTCAGTCCATAAATATAATTGGATGGCGTAGGTACATTGGTATGTTCATCTTTCATCGTACTCATACCTCTTCCTATTTTGAAATAAGTCTGATTCCTCACGGATAGTTTACTTATTACTTTATCAGTTTGAGCTGTTACGGTTTTACAACTTAATAGATTTGCCTAGAAGTACAATTGAGGCTATTAATATGGTCCAAGAAAATACGCCTTCATTCGAATATTTGGGAAGAATTTGAAATGTTGATATAAGTTACTTTGACAGATCTAAAAACAAACTGTAAAAGATTTTTTAAAACTCACCCCTGAGAAGGGGTGAATTAACATAAATAATAAATTATTTTTTCGCAATTTCGGAGAAACGGTAAGGACTAGTAGTCCAATCAGTGGGGGGCTATTATAAGCCTCTGCCATACAAAAGGTGGTGTAGTAAACTCTATTTTTTTTCTCAGGTAAGATTTCGACAGACGATGACAGAAGAAAAGCAGATGACGTCCCATACCAATCTATTTATTTCACTAAAAAAAGTTTCTAATAATTTTTAAGTTAACTATGGATGGGTTTAAATATAAATTCGTCATTTGTCGTTTTTAACCAATTTTATTGGTTTATTTCAAAAATGACAGATCGTATTTCAATTTTATTGGTTTGACGGAACGATGAACGAAAAACGGACGCCGATGCGTATGAACTCGCCTTTAGATTTTTGACGTTTGTCAAACTCTTGCCAAATTATAGGTTATAATTTTGTGACAACTTTTGACAAATACCCTGCGTTTTGGAAGATGATGCATTTTGATTCGTGTTATTACGTGTGTTTTGTGTCTTTTGAAGTCAAGTGGAGGAAAAATCGAGGGAAAATTAACTGTAGAACCCCGAGCACTGTTTATGGTTAATACTCGCTGCCCAGGCAGAAAGTCTTATACAGATACACCAATAAAGTTACTATCAATAAAGTTCGTATACAATCTCGTAGATAAGTGCATCTCGAATATGGTAGAAGAACCATACTAAAAACTAAAGTAGCTGTAAAATATCGACATCACACGATAGGTAAATAATGGATTTTAGTACTACAGAAAAATAATGTCAAAAGGTACTGGTTTAAAAAAATTACGATTAAAGTTAATTAATCAACCTGTGAGGTATAAAATTTGGTAAGTGTTATTATTAATAAAATAGTTTGTTTTATTTATGTTGTTTTATTTATTCTTGCGGAATATTACAAATTTGTATTTGTACATAAGTTATATTGATAAATATAATGATAAATGCGGGAAGTTTCATAAAGCTTGAAAGTAAGAAATAGTTCTTTTTATTTATTTTTTGGTATGTGGTGTCTTGTTTTTGTTTGTTTTATATTAAGACATACCGTTTTTTATTAAATAAAATAACTCGATTACATTTTTTCAGTTTTATACAGTTTTTTCACAATATTTTGAAGTTACTTGTCAGTCAAATTTTAAATACATATATTAATTTCCTGCTATGCGTTCCAGTTGTACCAACTTTTTTCTTTGTAAATTGTACAAAGTGTACATTGAAATTAAAATGACAGACACATCTATCACTGTCAAGGATATTCTCGTTGGACAGACTATAGTAATTTTTTAATAGGTTGTTAAGGTTTAGGTCTTGATGAAAAATCCAAGTTTTCGACCTTGGGGTGCGACCGCTCGAGCCGCCATCTTGAATTAAAGATACAAAAAACTGTATTTTTCAAAATATATCCGCAGCGGTTAATCTTACGTTCAAAATGTTGGAATAAAATTAGATATCGATATTTTTTCGATGTATCAAGTATAACGGGACATCGTAAAAAGGGCGGAACAATTTGGGTGGAGTAATAATTTGGGCGGAGGCAAAAAGGGCGAAGAATATTTTTCAGATAACGAAATTTCCGCCCAAATTTTTCCATCGCAGATGCTGGAGCATGCTTTCTCGTTGCTTTGTATGGTGGCAACTTGAAAGAAGACACCTTAGAAGAAATCCGATACCAACGTTTTGCTAGATCAACCACAAAAGTAAATCCAATCTTGCTTCATTGCCACCAACGAAGGTTGCTGCGCGGTATCATTCTTTCACGACATATCATCAAGTCCAGAAATGGTATGTAATCGAGAAAAAACCTGAAGACTGGGGCTGGAAACTGGACAACAATGGGCTTGTTCCACTCACCATGACAAAACAAGCAGCACCCGACAATTGAAATTCATTTCATGCACTTGTAGAAAAGGATGCGGCGCAGCATGTGGTTGCAGGAAAGCTGGGTTGAAGTGTTCCGTTTTATGTGGCTTCTGCAGTGGTCAGTCATGCGAAAATGTCCCAGAGGTTCACATCGAAGACGAGATGAAGATGACCAAGATTTAACAATTTAAGAGCAATATATTCCCATAAGACCGAAGACAATACCTTTATTTCTGTTTTTGTTTGCGGTTGTTCTTAGCAACCGCTATAGGCTTGGTGCATTTCAGTTGATTTCAATAAATTCCGACCGCAGCGCACTCTACGGCAGAAATCAGAAATTATCAATATATAGTTCACGCCGCCGCACTATGGTTTCTAGAAGCTACTTTTTTGACCAAAATTAAACAACTTACATTTAATGGAAAATATTGACTGTAAATTTGTATTTTTAATAAAATAATAAAAGGCTAATAATATATGAAGTTATTTTTAATCTTCTCGTTCAACGTGTGATTAACTTTTACCTATGAAGCATCTTCTGTATCTAGTTCCAAAAAAGAAAGTTGATCAATAATCGAATTACTGCTGTCCAAAAAACAATCTTCTTCTTCTTCCTTGCTCTTCCTCCTCGTATTCCTCTTCTTTTCCATGCTTCTCTTCAAATTGTTCTTCATTTAACTTCTGTTCGATAAAGTCAGGCACACGAAGTAGGTTAAGTACATCGGCAGGATAACTAAATTTACAAAGCAGCCTGCACAAGTAAAGTATTCTGCAGCCTGCACAAGTAAAGCCCAATCCTGCTTATGTTCCTCGGAAACTTTTGAGGTCGTTCTTCTCTGGGTTTTAGAAGATTGCTCCGAAAAAGGTGATCGTGGGCGGCCTGCAGATGATGTGGATGGAAGGGGTTCATTTAACTCAAGGATAAAATCCTCCTTTAACCAGTCTTCATTTTGTTTTAAAAATAAATCTTTAAGCCGCCTGCCATCTTCTTTCAAAATTTATACAAAGGCGATTTATCTTTTTTCCTATTGTGCCTGATAGTTCTTGTTCATTATTCTGAAATTTCTGTCTTACAAAATTTGAAACATACCCGTTTTTTCTCACTTGTAGCCATTTTTCCAAAATTTTTTTTTTAATCGATACATAGCTGAAAAAAAATTCTCTTAAAAAAAGTTGCAGCTAGTAGCAGCCAATTTTTTCTTTGATATGTTCAGAAAGGATTGTTTCAAATTTTACAATAACATCTAGCATGGAGAAACATGGAGAATTTTTAAACGAGAAGTCAAACTAAACTTTTAACTTTTTATTTATGTTCTGTCTTAAACTCATTATTTTTAATTAATTAAAAAATAATGGACGCTGATTCTTATGTGCAATTGTTAGTGATTTCTTAAAAAAACATACCATAAAGTGTAAAAATAACATTAATCCGTTTTTATATCCCACTGAAATATATCACTTAATATTCACCAAAACTCTTCTGAAAATCGACAACAACTGAATAGGCACAAATACTTCACTAGAACGTCTGAATATAAATGCTGATAAGGAATAAAAATGAAAACTAAACAAAAATATATGCATGTGGTCTTCTTCATTTGTATATCTGCTTGCATTCCACTTACAAAAAAAGGATATACAGTGAGTCTAAAATAGGTATTTTGGCCAAAAATTAGCTTCTAGAATCCATAGTGCGCCGTCATGTCGATCGCATTAAAATAATATTGAAATCGGGGTTTTGTCATTATATTTAAGTATTTTAGTTTTTTGCTAGTGCAGTTATTGAGACTATAAAACACTCAGGTACGAGATTTGTGTGATGTAACGCTGTTTCAGGTAGTAAAAAATAAGTGAAAAAGAATTCGAACTAGGCGTCTTGTGTTGTGACCAAAGATATTTAAACTCAAGAGATACAATTGTTTACCTTTTTCCTTCATCGGCCATTATTCTATCCTTATTTTCGCATCTCTCTTACACCGAAAACCTTTGCCAGATTTACCTGTATATTGGTTATTAGTATTCGATTAAATACCACAACCAATTATTAAGTAATAAATAATTTTGTTATATTTCTATAATATATCAAGTACATTAATTTGCTAACGGCAATTTTTTCATTTAATGCTTAACTGCTTAACTATTTAAATTTTATAATGGAATAAAAATATCATGATCGTGTTTCTTTTAATAATAAAAAGCAGTTTGGCAACGTCAGTTTTAGAAATATGCCGGCGTAGTACAACGGATTTCGAGGATGAATGAAAATTCCTAGATTCTCCTGTTGCGATGTTGCTATGCCGCCGAGTTTAAATATCTTTGGTTGTGACAATTTCAAATGTTAATAAAATTGCCTAAAAAATGTTAACGCGTAAAGGAGAGCGTAATTAGGGCGTTGTTGGGTGCAATAACATTCAATAACTCAATAAGAATCTGAATTGAAGTATATAATTTTCGAGCAAATTGAAGAAATATCTGAATTTTTTAGCAACTTATGATTTATTTTTTAAATATCATCCCCTAGCTTCTAGCCACCCTATCTCGGTTAATTTTGAGTTGATCAAGAAAGTATAGATATTTTCTGAACAACTTTTATTTGAACTTTTTCGTGCTAATCCTGGTTACTTTCCCAAAATTAAAAAAAAACACTAAAATTTTTCACCTCTTCCCGGGAATGAATTTAAAAGAATCTGAATCGAAGTTTATAATGCTCGAGCAAATTGAAAGAAAATTATAAATATCTGAATTTTTCAACAACTTATGATTTTTTTAAATTTCTACTATCATCCCCTAGCTTCTAGCCACCCTATCTCGGTTAATTTTGAGTTAAAAAATGTATAGACATTTTTTCTCAACAACTTTTATTTCAACCGAGGGGTCATTTGTCATCATTTGGGTAAAAAATGTACGTGTACTGCCAAAATATTATTTTATTGCCAAGCGACTGCCAATGACTGCGAAGAAGACTGCCTATGACCGCC